CGTGGCTCCAAGCTGACCGCCGGCCTGAATGTGAACATGATCATCATCATCTTTGTGGCCGTCTTCATACCCGTGATCTGCGTGCTCTGTGTCATCATCTACATCTGCCGGCAGAAGCAACAGGAGAAGAAGGAAACGGACGACCTGGCCAAGGTGTTCTTCGGCTGCGAGGACTCGGAACCGTTGCGCCCCTCCAATATTGGCGCCAATCTCAGCAAGCTGCGCATTGTCAAGGACGCGGAGCTGCGCAAAGGCGGCGTCCTGGGCATGGGTGCCTTCGGTCGTGTCTACAAGGGCGTCTGGGTGCCAGAGGGCGAGAATGTCAAGATACCCGTGGCCATCAAGGAGCTGCTTAAGACATCTGGCGCCGAGTCCAGTCAGGAGTTCCTTAACGAAGCCTACGCCATGGCAACCGTGGAGCATGGCAATCTCCTCAAGCTGCTGGCCGTCTGCATGTCCTCGCAAATGATGCTCATAACACAGCTGATGCCGCTTGGCTGCCTGCTCGACTATGTGCGCAATAATCGCGACAAGATCGGCTCCAAGGCGCTGCTCAACTGGTCCACCCAAATAGCCAAGGGCATGTCCTATCTGGAGGAGCGACGCCTCGTACATCGGGATCTGGCCGCACGCAATGTGCTGGTGCAGACGCCGTCCCTGGTCAAGATCACGGACTTCGGCCTAGCCAAGCTGCTGAGCCTGGACTCGAATGAGTACAAAGCAGCTGGCGGCAAGATGCCCATCAAGTGGTTGGCCCTCGAGTGCATCAGGCATCGCGTCTTCTCCAGCAAGTCGGATGTATGGGCCTTCGGTGTGACCATTTGGGAACTGTTGACCTTTGGCCAGCGACCACACGAGAATATACTCGCAAAGGACATACCCGATCTCATCGAGATGGGCCTGAAGCTGGAACAGCCCGAGATCTGCTCCCTGGACATTTACTGCACGCTGCTCTCCTGCTGGCAGCTGGACGCCGACTTGCGTCCGCCCTTCAAGCAGCTGACCAATGTGTTTGCCGAATTCGCACGCGATCCGGGTCGCTATCTGGCTATACCCGGCGACAAGTTCACGCGCCTGCCCGCCTATACGAGCCAGGACGAGAAGGATCTCATACGCAAGCTGGCGCCCACCACAGACGGCTCGGAGCCCATGGTCGAGGCGGACGATTATTTGCAGCCAAAGGCGGCACCGGGTCCCAGCCATCGCACCGACGGCACCGATGAGATACCCAAACTCAATCGCTACTGCAAAGATCCCAGCAACAAGAACTCCAACAGTGGCGGCATCGGCGGCGACGATGAAACCGATTCCAATGCACGCGAAGTGGGCGTGGGCAATCTGCGCCTCGACCTGCCGGTCGACGAGGATGACTACTTGATGCCCACGGGCCAGGGTAATCCCAACGGCAACAACAACAACAACAACAACAGCAACAATCCCAACAACAACATGGCCACAGCCGCAGCCACCGGCTACATCGATGTCATTGGCGTAAGTACACGATGGGAATATATTAAAGAGCCGATTACTAAACCAATTCATGCTTTGTTCAACAACCAGGTGCCCGTGAGCGTCGACAATCCGGAGTATCTGCTGAACGCACTCAGCGCTGGGGAGGCGCCGATTCCCACTCAGACGATTGGCATACCCGTTGCGGGTGTGCCCGGCACCATGGAGGTGAAAATGCCGGGCAGCGAGTCCACCAGCTCCGACCATGAGTACTACAATGATACGCAGCGGGAGCTACAGCCGCTTCAACTGCTGCGCAGTCGCAGCACCGAGACGCGAGTGTAGCTGCAGAGAGAGAAAGAGGAAGTTAGTGAAAGTGAGAAAGAGAGAACACACTGCCAGAAGAAATGAGTTAACTTTGGATATCAATCTTGCCACGTAGTACCCAAGTGCCTTGTGGAAGGCATCGCCAGTTGTCGGTTGCCAGTTGCGGACGCAGTTGCTCTGATGTGTGCCTTCTGAATGCTGTTATCATAGATACAAAAACAAAACCCATTCGTCTGTAGTTGTAAAAAACAACCCCCTTCCAATAATTGTATAGACTAGCGTACTTAGTCCCCCCCACTCACACCCCCTTTAAGAACAACTTTAGGTTCTTATTTAACTCTAGTTGTGTACTTTTTTATATAGCGCTTGTAGATTCAATGTAATTACGAGAACAAAACACCGATAGTGCATTTCTAAGACGCCCTGCGAAGAAGCCAAGAATGAAACTTGAACCCAAGTTCATCCATTTGGCTTGTGTTCAGGTTTTTCGGTATTGCATGCGGCGCCCCACTAAGCTAAAGTTATTTCTAGTTCAAGCAGCGTATCCAACAATATCTTATCTATCAATCTATCTATATCATATATATATATGTAATACGAGTTATAGGCTTTTAGTTAATAGTCTCCAACTGTGATATAGCTCCTAGGCAATTCTCTATAATTAATATTTTTTTCAATTACTTGTGAACAAACTCGTAGGCCACTGTTAAATTCTATGAATAACCACACAGATCTTATTTTTTACAAAATTTTGGGGCCTAGTTTCAAAATCAATTCGATAAATAGTTCAGATTTAATTTCGAAAAAACGAAAAAACGATTAACAAGCAAACAAACAAAACAAACAAACACAAAACAATAAATCCCGAGCGTGCCATGCATTGATTATGCAATTCTCCTAAAGATTTCGAAAAATTTGTTGGCACATTAAGGTTGAAACTGAAACATAATCTTAAGATTTTTAGTCTATTTTATATTGATCAAAGATATATGTAAATAATATACACAATCAATGCGATTATAATACTTATTTGTATACAATTAACAGCTTAACTTGTACGCATATTTCTGCACATACAATTTGGCATATAAATTTTAATGTAATTTAATTTAATTGCAATTAGTTTACAAGTACCTACGCAAAATTACGCATATACGAGTAAATAAAACGATTTTAAAATAATTGCTTAATTATGATTAATTCAAGGCTAGGACGAAAGGCACCTGCTGCCAGTCAGCCTATTTATGATCAATTTGTTATATACGGCAATGCCGATTTTCTCAACTGTTTAAAGAATTTACGTCCTTTTTAATTGCATTTCAAAATCTGAAGATTTTAATCGTTTTAAATATAACGTGCATTTTAGCTCGGCGGTTGGTTGCATTTGAAATTTAACGGCTTGCCCCGTGCGCGTATGCAACGAAATTTTTTATTCACAAATTTGTATCTACCTGCTGGTCACTTCTGTTCGCCTGGTATTTCAGCTGAATTTTGAGGCACCAGCTAAATTTTTCCAGCGGAATTTTTAAATGACCTATTTCTGTAAAATGAAGCCCTATTTTGGGATTTGGAGTCTATAATAATCGATTAATATCAGAACCAACAAGGTTGAACAAAAATTGCAATATTTGTAAATTATGCACCAAGCTGCTCCTCCGCATGCTCCTTTTGGGTATGCAATGAAATTTTTTTACAAAAAATTTTAGTTCGTCTACCTGCTGGGCAATTCTGTTCGCCTGGTATTTTTACCAAATTTACGTTCAAATCTAACGCCCCCCATCTTAGCTGCGGCTGTTAACAGTGGTATGTTAAGTAACACCTGCCTAACAGGGAACTGTTAACTAATATCTGCGTAACTGTTGAATAACAGCTGCAGCTTATAATTAACAGTGGGCTGTTAAAAAAAAAATTGCTGTGCATCTACCTGCTGGGCATTTCTGTTCGCCTGGTATTTCAGCTGAATTTTGATTTGAAAATGCGAGCCAACGGCCGGGCCCAGTGCAATGGTATCTTGTAACCGTAACTTTGTAAACCTTAATTTAATTATTTTTAAAAGCTTTCAAGCGAATTTTGCTCGGATTTGGAACTTTAGTTTTCCCAGGACTCTATCAATGGTATGATAAAACCAAGGATATGTCGGTCATCTGGATCATCATAAATAAATGTTTTCAAAAACATTAAATGGCCATATCTTGGCCAAATAAGCCCCAATCTTGGAAGTATTTGTTTGTTTGCCTTTTGTTGACGCAGAAAACCGTTTGTGCGATTTAGATGGCGCTGTGCAAAAGTACTGACCGGTAGATGGCGCTAATCAAATTCTAACCGTTACTGAATTAATTAAACGTGTTTATTTTTAAATAATTTTTATTTATTTATCTTTTGTTTTATTTTGATATACGCAATACGACAATTCAATTGATTTTGCTAGAAGTAGTCGCAAACTGTTTTTTAAAATTTATTTATTTTTTTTTGTTTTGATTGAGTATTTTTCATATTTTGCACATATTGTAGAACTGTCGGTATGTATGTATGTATATGTATTTGCATATATGTATGTATATTGAAAAGTTAATCCATAGTTTACATTCATAAAAGTTCAATTACATCAATTATGTACTACAAAACTATTGCTGTTAGTTTAATCAATATAGTTGCATAGTTTTTGTTTTTCTTTTACTTACTTTGTTTTCTTTTGATAGCTACATATGTGTGCGTCGTATTATAAGTTATGCTTTGAGACAATTCTCGACAATTGTCCGTCTGGCTAGTTTTTTTTTATGCAATTAAATAACCGAAAGTATTTTAATTATAACCGTATTGGAAGTACTACAAAAAGAAAACAGAATAGTTCTTAAATATGCCGAACTTAGGCCATAAACAAATCAGTGCTGGGGGCTCTGGGCTCTACCTAAAATACTATTGAAATACACGTATATGATGTGTGTGTTATTGTGTGTGTGTGTATGTGGGTGGACGGGGAGGATTGTTTGTGTGTATGGGTTGACTGCCAGCAAAAACGTATTTGATATAAACATTAAATAACATTTGGATTTTAAAAATTTTGCGCAAAAAACACCGCTCCCTCCCATGCATCTCGCAACCCGCATCCTGGAACCGCTACTTAACGCCCGCCCCCGTTTTCTGTGCCCGTGCCCGCCCCATTCCCCCCGTGTAAAACCCCCAAGAGCCGCCTAAAGGGCAGCAATTAGTGCGCAACTCGCACAAAGATTACGATTACACAGTGCCCAGAACGTTGACGCAGACGTTGACCTGGACATGGAGCCTATCACATTGGAACGCGACGCACCAACAAATATTCGGAGAACTGTTGCCCCTCGACGCCGCCCCCGGTGCTGGCCTCAATGGTGAAGCCGGCGTTCAGCAGCCGTGTGAGCACCTGAACGGAGTTCAGTTTGCAATAGCCGTTGAGTGGGAAGCGGATGATTTGGCGCCAATCGCCCTGGTTCCAGGAGACGCCGCTCCGACTCGACTGTGTTGCCTGATTGGCCTCCGGGAAGAGCTCGTCGAGCAGCGCCCGTTCCGCCGACAGCATAATGCGTTCACCCAGATCCGGTGAGATGTGAAGCGCGACCACCTCATAATTGCACTCGGGCGCACCGCTAGTCCTTGGGCTGGTCTTAATGTGACGTGCTGGCGGTGTGGGTGGCGCCACCAAATAGTTGCCATTGCGAACGCGCTCCTTGCGCATACTCTCCAGCTGCTTAACCATGGCTGCCGTGGGCAACAGAGACAGACGCAGAGACAGGGAGAGAGAGAGAGAGAGAGAGAGAGAGGGGTAGTCAAATTAGCAACAGGTTAAATGTGTTTAGTGATGGGTAAAGAGAGGGGAGGGGGGTAATACTTACGCTCCACTTCGTAGTAGCGTGCCTCCTCGAGCAAGAGCTCGAGGTCGGGAAAATCGTCGGCAATCAATAGTCTTGAGTTTCTCATAAAGTTAAGTATATGGCGAAACATGCCACCATCCCGATCGATGAAATAATGCTGCTTCAGCGAGTCAAGCACAATGGGTATCTGTCCATTGAAGAGCTTGGCCAGCTTCGATTCGGGATATTTGGTAAGCGTCTCCAGAGAGCTCGTGTAGATTGTGCCGCCGACATCGATGTGCACCGGCGCCGTATACCGGGACGCGGCCGCCACACAGGGTATGCCCGAGATGGGCTTGTGGTTGTGCAAATAGGAACTGGCCCCGGCCGAGGCGCCGCCACCACCAGGTCCGGCGCCCGCAGCAGCTGCTGCGGCAGCGGCCACAGCGGCAGCGGCCGCCGCGCCGGGCAGGCCCAGCGGCGTCACGGAGGAGCTGGCGGGCGGCGTCGGTGTGGGCGATGAGGAATTTGAGATCGTTGGCGAAACGGTGGGCGAAGCGCTGCCGGGCATGGGCGTGACAAAATAGATTATACATATATGTAAGACCAAAAGAAACTTGGAACGGGAGGAGGACGCGCTTACCTGATTTTAATATCGCTGCGGGCATAGATGCGGCCCGTGGAGGATAAATCGCGCGGCTCGAGGCCCTTTGCATCTCTTTCGCGCTCTCGATCCATATCGCATTTTTTGCTACAATAAAATCAGATTAAATAAGACAAATTAGTGGCAGTCGCAGGGTATGGTCAGGGGGTGGCGGTGGGGGGGGGGGTGTCTGAGAGACAGCTTGATGAGCTTATGTAAGTTGGTCGCAGCATGAGAACCAATTTGGCCAACAGAAATTGACTGCAGCTCGATTACAGGCAGTCAACTGGGCAGAGTGGTGGAGCGGGTGAGGGGGAGGGGGCGGGGGCGGGGCACAACAAACGTGACAAAGCAAATGGCCCAGGCAAATGGCTGCGAGGCATTTGCCTCGCACAGCAGGGCCAAGAGTTTTGTATATAACGCCAAGTATTTCATATGATTGTGTGGGAATATTTGGCTTTTCATTGCGTTTAACTCACTTATGCCAAGAGCCAAGAACCCCCACACAACACACACACACACACACACACACACACACACACAGACACACGCGCACATGCTGCCTGCAGCTGGAGTTGCAGCCACGACAGCAAAAAAAAAAGCGAAGAGCGAGCGGAAGGAGGGGGCAGGGCTTCGGCTTTGGCTTTGGCTGCACAGTCAAATTGACCGCTGGGCATGCGCCTCGATTTTCACACGAAAATCACGTTGATTTGAGCATCGTTATGGCAACAAAACTGAACCGAGACGCAGCCAGCGCGTGGAACAAAACTGCATGCAACACAGGCCGCGGCATCATGCACGCTAATTATGACATGTCAAGCTGTGTGTGCCCCACATGACGTATACGCAATGTGTAAGCCCGGCCGCAATCAACGGCTAAGCGGCCAACGCGTTTTGCGTAATAATCGCATCAAGCCCCTCTCCCCGTCTCACTGCCTACCTCTCTCCTTCCCCCCGCTCTCTCTTTCTCTGCCTTTCTCTCTCTCTCATCAGCAGCTCGCTTAGCTGTCGTATCATTAGCAGTCGTCATGGACAACAAATTAATAAAACTCAATCAACGTGTGCGAAAGGGGGGGGGGGGGGGCAGTAATGGCCTAGCGGGTCGGGCGTGCGTTTAAATACCTGCCCCTTTGCCACGTCCCTTTGCCGTCGCCTTCGCCTTTGCCAATTGCAAGCAGTTAGCAGGGTCGCAGACAAATGCCCTGTACACATTTTCAAAGGGTATTATAGGTAAACTATGCTAGACTTAAGATAAATCAACAAACAACTGAAATATCTTCAAGAACTAGATAACTCCTATGCACACAAGACTTTATTGATGAACGATCGTTCCTATGGCAACTAGGTATATGATTTAATTAACTAAATTTAATCTTATTATAAATAACTAATATTAAATATATATGTTTTTATAATAATCTCTCAATCCCTCCCTCTACATTCTCACCACAAAACTTAAGTTGTTAATATTTGAAGCGCTTTTTACAGGGCATCTGCTAGTCGTCGACTTGTGATTGAAACATTTTTCAACCAATTCTTTATCCATTTTTTATTTTGTTTGTCTGTTATGCGCATTAGGCCACAGACCAATTGCCAGTTGGCAGTTAACCCTGCCCCTTCCCCTTTCCCCCTCCCCGCACCACACCCAGTTGTTGCATGCAGCTTACTCTATAGTCTATGACCCTGCGCCAGCTGGCTCGCCCCCTGTCCGCATCTTCTTCCAGCTGAGCTGAGCGTATTTACTAAACAAGTTTGCTTTTTAAAATGTTTTTAGCCTTTGGGCTATATGGCTCGGGTAATTACGATTTGATTAACTTTAACTACATGAGCATTCGCATTCGCATTCGTATGACTACGAATACCAATACGAATACGAATACGACTGCAAGTACGAGTATTTGTATTCGTATTCGTATTCAAGACAAAAAAAATGCCAAGGCGACGTTGGAAAAAATAGGGTTAAAAAAAGAATTGCTAAAGAAAACGTCCGCGGGGCAATTCTCATAGTCTCTGTGGGTGTGTGTGTGCACGTGTGTGTGTGTGTGTGTGTGTATGTGTGTGTAGCTGCCTCGCGTTGGTGGGTTTCACATTTTTATTAATTTACAACAATTATAAAAGCGTAAGCAGTGCGCTCAATAAAACATGGCCAATGAATATGGCTTAAATGCCACAGCAACAACAACAACAACAACAAGAGCAGCAACAACAAGAAGAGGGAGAAGAAGAAGAATGAGAGGCACATATGCAGTTTGCAGCTGGAGGTCTGTGCCACAAAACAATTCAATTTCAATTGCTTTGCGGTCCACTTGAGGCAGGTTGCAGGCTGGCTGGCAGTCTGGCTGCTTGGCGCAGCAGCAGCAGGTGCAGCAGGCACACGTACACACACACTCACACATGCACACACACACACCCACCCACTGTTAACGGTATTGTATATAAGCACAGGCACACACACACACACTGCAGCTTTGCAGTTTTGCAACCTATTCTAGTCCAATAGTGCCCCAGGCGTTATCTTTTCTATGCGCCCGAGCAGGGACCACAACAGGCAGCCAGGCAGAGCGTGAGACAGAGAGAGAGAGAGAGAGAGGGAGGGAGAGTGCGAGCAAGAGCGAGCTGGAACAGCTGCTGTGTGTGTGGAAGCAAGAGGGCAAACGCTGTTTGCAACGCCTTTGGTTACACTTCAGTTTAGCATGAAATTTTGAAGAGTTGCTGTTGCCAAATGTTGTTGCTGTTGTTGTTGTTGTTGCTGTTGTTGCTGCTGTTGTTGTTGCTGTTGTTGTTGCCGTCTAAAAGAGCTGAGCCTGTGCCTTGGACTATGCTTTGGCCTGTGCCTGTCAAGCTGCTGCTACTGCTGCTGCATTTGCATTTCGAGTGGGCGTTGTTGTGGCTACCAGAATACGCCCCCTTGCATTGCCAATGCCACCCCCCTCCCTCCTCCCACAGCCTGTCTCACATAGCCTGCGCCGTCAGCTGGAATCTTGATGACTGACATCTTTGGTTTGCCTTTTAATGGCATTGCCATTAACTCAGCTCTGTTTCACATGAATATTGCTTAGCATTTTGGCCCATAATTGAGTTTTGTTTTACACATGACATAAAGAGAGGGAGAGAGAGAGAGAGAGAGAGAGGGATAGCTGGCCAGTTCAAAAAGACAGCTTATTAGTTGGCATTGTTCAGATTTTGGCCAAAACTATCGAGTTGCAGCTGCTGCTATTGTTGTTGCTGCTGCTGCAGTGCCTCGGGCTCAAATAATTTTGCAGAGTCCGTAGCATAGACAAAAGTAGCCGCCGGCTAGCGAGCTGCAACAGCACTGGCCAGCCTGGCATGTCGCCGTGCCCCTCGGCCGCAAGATGTTCAATCTCAATGCGACATGGGCGTCCCAGCAATTGGCTATAGTCCTGCAGTCCTGCTGTGGTCCTTGTTTCACTCCGCCTGCTAAACGCAAAACCCACATAAAAGCGATAACAAAAGCCAAGAAATGAGCTAAAGTGCACACACACACACATAGATCAACACACAGCTTTAGTGATACACACCTCGGCAGAGCAGCGGCAGAGCAGCGGCAGCGGCAGCATCAGAGGTTGACGACGACGACGTTGACGTTGACGTTGACGCTGACTATGTAACCCCTACAAAATGTCCTGCGGCCAGGCAACCTTCCGCACACAAAGGCCAGCCAGACAGTGTGTCCTGTGCTCTGCTGTGCTCTGCTCGACCTGCAACCGCACCCGCCCACGCCACCCGCACCACACCTTCAGTGTATGCAGCAGCTCGACGAAAAAGGGCAAAACGCTCGTCTTCGCCAGCGGCGATCGTTTGGAATTAGTGCGGAAATCATGGATGGATACGAAACGAAACCAAAACCAACAGCAACACCAAGCCAAGCCAAGCCAGGCCAAGCCAAGCCAAGGTGGACCCAGTCGAAGCAAGCGGCAGGAGCAGCTCTCATATAGAGCAAAGGTGCTCGGAGATTGGGTATGGTCATATTGCGAGAAGGGTGGAGTGTGGATTGCTCGGCTCCTAGGGCGTCTGCTGCATGTGTGTGTTAGTGTGTGTGTCTGTGTGTGTGTTCGCCTCCTCATTCATTTATCCTTGCAGCGCTTAAGGCACAAACAACAACAACAACAACAACAACAAAAGAGCATGAAGCATTGGCTGTAACCACGACAAGGCGACTCCACGCTACACGCTCAACTCCGACTCCGGCTCCGGTCTCTGCTTTCTGTTCTGTGTATGTTGCCCCAAAACAATACACACACACAGGAAAACTTTGGGCTTTGGTTAGAGGTAAGTTGGGTGTCCGTTTTGGCTTACACACTCACACATGTGTGAGTGTGCATGTGTGTGTGTGTCTGCATTTAAAGATATCATACCTAAGTTGCGGCTCCCTGCGGCAGCATAAAACAACGCATAAAACAGAGCTCAACAGCAACAACAACAGTTGAAAATAAGCGAATAAGAAGAAGAAATCAAAGCCCCAAAGCCCCAAAAACCCAAACCCAAACCCAGCAACCAAATCCTCAGCCAGTTCCCAGTGCCAGAAACGAAAGTTTGTCGAGGCAAAACCTTATCTCAATTTTAAAATGCCGCCGGCCCAAGCGTTGGCTCCTCTTCTGGCTGCCAACCGCCCGACACGCCCCCCGCCACCACCTCCGCCACCCCCTCTGCATCTGCCTGCTGCACTCTCTCTCTAGCAGGCGACCAGCGCATATGAGGGGGCGGTGGGAGGAAGGGGGGCGGTGTGTGTTTGTGGCTAAGCCAAGTAGATGCCACCAAGTTTTGCATGCAACTTATTTGAGGCGCATTTATCGCGTTGCTGCAACAACTGGTTGCAGAAACAGTTGCCACCAAAATGCGCTTCAATTAGTTTCTGTGGCATTGCGAGACAAAAAGCCAACTGCAAGGTGGGCTGGGCAGGGCTGGGCAGGGCTGGGCAGGAGCTGCTGTTGGATTGGGTAAAAGGTAGCTAAGGGCTGGCAGTTCTATGCCCAGTGCTGGGGCAGGTCTGGGCCAGGTTTGTGTATGTTGGCAAGACAAACACAAAGTGCTCCTATATGCTTCACTGCAAACACGCACACATACGCACACACACACACACGCGTACACACACCCACACAAATCACGCAAATGGCCGCAGGACACTTTAAGAAGAATCCAATGCCTCAAGTGTCGAGTGGGAGCAGGCAACTGGGCCAACTGTGGCAGCTGTGGCAACTGGGGAGCCGGCAACTGGCAACTGGCAACTGGCAACTGGAGTTGGCGGCCAAAATCAAAACGCTGATGAGCAGGCAAATGAAAAAGTTTTTTTGTTTCGTTTTTTCTATTTTTTTTTTTTTTTTGCTTGGACGCGGGAGGCGCCACAAAAAGCCAAAAGCAAAAGCCAGAGCCAAGCAGCAGGATTCAGTTTGTTGCACACACACACATACACACACACATACACATAGAGCAGCACATGAGAAAACTTGTGCTGCTTCTTCCTCTGCTTAGCCAGCAGCAAGTTACAAAAGGCCACGAAAAACTGAAGCCGTTGCCGTTGAGGCAACTGTTGCAGGGAGTCGCCGGCGCATATGGGAAATCAGTCGCAAGTCCTATGAAAATTTGCTGGCAAAAGTTGCAGAATGTCTGCAAGTGTATGCGTGTGTGTGTGTGCCAAATTGTACAAATATATGCGCTGTATATGTGTGTGTGTGTGTGTGTGTGTGTGTGTGTGTGGCAAAAGTTGAGTTGAAGTCGAGTCGAGTCGAGTGTAGCAGATATTAAAACGCTGCGAGGCTTTCAAAAATAAACTTTGAAAAATTTATTAGAAAATATTAAATAAAAACGACGATTGCGCTGCATATGCCAAAAAGCAGCACGGAATGAATGTGAATGTGTGGCAGGCAGGCCCAGAGTATGCCACATGTGGCAGATGCCAGTTGCTATATAGCGATAGATATATGTTTATATATATGTGAACTTAACTGGAGAGCTGAGGAGCTGAAGAGCTGGCAGCATGCGATTGCTTGGCCTGCGTTGCAGAGCAAACATTACACAAAACTCACAGACAACACACACACACACACACATACAGACAACTCCCACTCAAGTGTTTTTATAGCTAAATCTTCAAAAATTGAATTGCAAGTAAAGCAGCAGTAGAAGAAGAAGACATGCAACAGCAACAAAGTAGACAAAAAAAAGAATTGCGCATACGCCGCATTGTGCATAGGTAAAGTCAATTATATGCAGCAAAAAAAAAGAGAAAAAACTGATTGATTGATTGATAATAGAAAACTCTGATGTACAGCAACAATATTAGACAACTATTATAGAATGCAAAAGGCCCAATTGAATTGGACTGTTTTCTCAATTTGGGCGATTGAAAAGTGGATTCGTTGATTCATTTACGGATTCATTCTGTTGCGGCGGCATTCATTCGTTTATTCATTGGGGCCTAATCAAGTGCACATAAAAATTAACAGCAAGGCTTCCAGTTGAATGCAGCTCAAACAGCATCAGTTGCATGCGGCGGCCATTCAAGTGGCAAATGCCTCTTGCAACGCATTGCTGCAACGGGCAACTCGCAACTGGCAACTGGCAACTGGCAGCAGGCAATGCGCATTTCCTAATTGGCGCAATTTGCGTGTGCATATTGCAATAACAGCATTTACAACAGCAGAAACAACCATAACAACAACAACAGGAGCAATAGCAGCAGCAGCAGCAGCAGCTACAACAACAACTCGCAGCAGATGCAACACAAAGCAAATCGACAGCAAGTGAAACAAATGCAGGCGCAGGTGCAGCGACCCGCAGCAGCAGCAACAATTGCCTTTTCACTTATACCCTCTACGCAAAATACTTAAGAGGGAATATTGAATTTGTGCCGAAGTACAGCTACAATAAACTATTATTGCAGTCTGAACTTAGAATTTTCTTAACATTTTTACTATATTCTTAAGAAACTAAGAAGTTCGAAGCTTGATTTTCCTTTTATTTATTTTTCAGTTTTTGATTTCAAGCCCCAAAAAGTCGACTTTATAATTGTCAAAATACATTTTACTTATAAGCTTAAGAAGGAAAGAGTAAAAAGTAACAGAAAATTAGCAAAAATAAAAGTAACTTAAAAATAAGAAGGAAAGCACTTTAGAGGTTATCAATTAATATACTTTTCTATATATATATATAAAATAAAATATATGAATTTAATTCATTTTAGAGTAGATATTGAAAATATTAAAAAATAACTATTTTACTTATTGATATATTTAGCATGCCTTCGAAACTATTTCCTTTTTATTTTAAATTAAATATATGTTTTGGGGCATTTATTATTATTATATATTATATTATTATATGTATATATTATTATATTATATTGTTCTACCAAGCGACGAACTTTTCCTTACCTGTAATAAATTTTTTTTTTAGCTTCATTTTCGAACGAAGACTTAAGTATTAAATGTATTAATACAATAACTGTCCTCATTAGCATGATTTAATTTGAAAGGTTTCACATACTTAGATTGTAGCTATAAATTCATTAAAAATGTTGCTCTTAGTATAAATTCTTAAAAATGAAGCACACAATTATTAACATTCAAAAATTTGGACTTCGAACAAAATGTTATTTAAATTTAAACTCTAATCCTATTTTTACCAAATCCATACTTGATTCCTTGAAAGTTTTTATTAAGTCTACATTCACAAGGTTTCGCATTAATCTTAAGTTAAATATATTTCAAGACTTTTCAGTCTAGAAAGAAAACTTCAATCTGAAAAGTCGCATAGTCATAGGGCATTACGTAGTCGAGCTGAGCTGGCTGTAAGTCAGTTGCCTGTTGGCCTTCGCCTGTCGACTGGCAATTGGCAATGTTGCCAATGTTGGCAAATGTTGTTGCTGCTAATGATGCCCAATTGCAGCTTAATTAACACAGAGCGCGTTAAGCGCTTTGTGTGGAACAGCAGCCGCAAACGCAGCCGCAAACGCAGCCGCAGCCGCAGCAACAAGAACATTTTGAATGGGCATTCAAATGCACTCCCATTTTCATTTCCCATTTCTCATTTCCATTCGCCATTTGCCATTTGCCAGTTCCACTGCCATCCATCCTTTGACTGGCAATCACTTGCGATTGGGGCGAATGCAAATGTATTTTAAATACAACGCGCACAAATTGCCAATTGAGAAAACAAATTTCGTGGCAGCGGTGACTGCCGCAGCAGCAGCACGTGTGGCAGCCACACAGATACGTTACGTTACTTTACGTTAAGTTACGTTACATTATGTTACGTTACGTTTATGCCACAAAACAAACGAATTTGACTTTGCCAGCGATTCCGCCTTCGCTCAAGCTTAAACCAGTTGCTTGCCCCAAATACTGGCAGACACAAAGTTAGAGAGAGAGAGAGAGAGAGAGAGAGAGAGAGAGAGAGAAAGAGAGAGCAACTGTTGGCAGCAGTTGTCGCAGTGTCGCGTCTGTCGAAGGTCGCCCAAAACTTCTACCACTTCTTTTGTCTCTTGTTGCGGCTGCTTTTGAGTTCTTTTTATTTTTTTTTTTGTTGCCTCATTTCAATGTGATTTTGGTTTTGGCCATGCTTTGAACTTTGCAATTTGTTGTAGTCTTTGCTGCATGTGGGCTTTGGAGCCTGTCGGGCATTTTGGCCATGCCCGCCGCCACAATCACAACAACTGGTCAATCGCACCACCCCCCCCCACGCCCTCTCACGGCCCCTCCAGCAACACAAGCAGCTTCCTCAGCCCATGTATTTTATAGCCTTTAAGGTAAAACAAAAAATAATGCGACCTAACCGCACCGCGCCGTCGTTCTCCTCATCATTTGTCGTCGTCGTCATCTCTTGGCGCACACACACACCACACACACACACACACACGCAAACATGAACACACCACACACATAACTCTGCTGCGGGCCAAGTTTGTCGAAAAAAGCCCGCGGCGTGGTACAATTTTTTTTTGTATTTTTTATTTTTTTTCTGTTTTGTTCTTCGTACTTTTGTTTATTTCTCCTTTGGTGCGGGCCGAGCAGCACTTGAGGCGCATCAAATTTTTAAAACGTCTGCGTTTATGGCACACAATTTTCGGACTTGGACACGAACTCGGACACGGACACGGACTAAGACTTGGACTTGGACTTGGACGTGGCATGTGCATGTGCCGCAGTTGTGGGAGAGACGAAAATCAGTTGAGCCTCAGGCGCGTGTGGCCCAAGCCACAAAAAATACAAAAACTCAACAACAAAAGGAGAAACCAAAAAAATATATATATATTAAAGAGGTTTCTCTGTGGCATGCAACCGGCGTTGTTGCCTGTGTTCGGTTATGTGCTCAAAATTCGTTTATTACAGAATCTTTGTTGAACTAATTTATTGGCTTACAGAGAGGGAGACTGAGACAGAGAGGGAGATATACAAAGAGAGAGCGCGCGAATGAAAGACTTTTCTGGTTTTTTGTTTTGCTTGGATTGAGATTTACTCACCGTTTGGGGCAGGAGGACTCCACCGTCAATGGTGATCGTTGATCCAATGCAACAAATGGAGTTCTAGGGGGTAAACAGAAATATATATATATGTATTATTGAATGGTGCCAAGATTAAATATTACATTAATATTTGATAGTTGTCTAATAAAGAGACATACAATTATCCAGGATCATTCCTCGCAACATAAATTAAGACAATTTCTTGCAATTAATTGCTTAAGATTTTAATACTTAAGTCTGTGGCCAAGATCATTACCAAATAGCTCTTAACTGAACCACTTAACAAGAGCCAAGCCCAAAGGCGCCCGCATAACAAATATGAATTTGACACAGAAATAAAAATGTTTCCCAAGAGCTGCCACTGGGCAACTTTCCAAAATCCTGCATATATTTAAATTATAAATATTTCAAAATTATTTATAAAAGAACGCATTGAGACTAGGTATGAAACAAATCAAAATAAACTGTTGCATCTTAAGGATACGCACACACAATTCACACAACGACCTGGACACAGACAGAGACACACTCAACACACACACACACACACCACATACAATGCAAATGGAACTCACAAAAAAGTCGGTATATTTAGGAAATGCACTTTAACTATTTTATATGCAACAGCGCGCGTAGACAACAAATTTATAACGTTTTTCTTTTAGTTTAAGAAGAGTTAGTTTGTGTTTTTATTTAAATTTCAGTTTGTTTAGCTAGCATTTAATTTCCGCTTCTAAAGTTTCTTAATTTCAATTTGAACGCATTGCTAATTGCAAAATGGCGCCGCACACACACTGCAAATCACTTAAAATGTTTACTTCCGGTTTCCGGTTGTTGTCGCGCCCGCCGCTTGTTGCCTACTAATCTCTGTAGCGCCTTTCAATTGCTTTTTACCTGACTTGCATTCGCGCCGAGCGTTCGCTGTGAACTAAATCGTGGTTCGACATCCAACTGGTTTTTACTCGTTCTCAAACATGTTGCCGTCAAGCCAAAACACTTGCCCAGAGGCTATGCCAACTGCAAAGGCTCTTTTATAGACTTGGGGTGTTTACCATAAACATATCTTAATCTGTATTTAGATGATTATTATAAAATTAACTATAAGTAAGTTGAAGGACATTTTTAATTGATTTATGTATATTTCTTTCAGTATTTTTCCAATTTTTCTCTCGTTAAAACTCCATATTAAAAAAAACTCATCTACTTTTCAAGCGTCCAATAATTTTTTGTGCACTTATATAATTAGAATCATGTCTCTACCCTTTTATCTGAATGTCTATGATAAGAATATTAAGCAAGTTGGCACATAAACTAATCAAAACTGCAAAAGTTTTATGATCAAGTTAAATTTGATTTCGTTTATGATTGAAGCAAACATTAAGTGAAATAAAAGAAATCAAATAAATGTTTAAGCAGCAATTAAAAACGAATTGAAAGTATTTAACTAATTTGAAATTGTTGTTTACATTAGCTTATTAGAATGTTCGCGTTGTAAGTCGTTGTTGTGTTCGAGCATGGTTCAAGTTGCAACTCGTGTTCGATGTTTGACGTTTCACGTCTTTAGCAAATGGCGACCTTGGAGAGAGCAGCTGCAGCATCAGCGGGAGACACTAAGCGAGAGAGAGAGAGAGCGAGAGAGCGAGAGGGAGAGAGAGAGAGCACAAGTGGCTACAACAAACGATTGTTTAGTTGTTGCTGCTGACTTTTCCCACCATATGACTGCCAGTTGCAAGTGTCTGATTGTGTGAGTGTGCGTCTAAATGTGTGTGTGTGCATGTGTGTGTTTGCATGTGAACGTTTAATAGTCTATTTCCGGTTTAAGTGCTGTTGCTGTTGCTGTTGCTATTGCTGTTACTGTTGCTGTTGCTGTTTCAGTTGTTGTTTGCAACTAAGCTGCCGCAATTAACTTTATAACTGGACTTGCGTGTGGCGTGTGAAATGGCGACAGTTTTGATTGTTCTGAAGGGTAATCAATGTAACGACAAACATACAAATGCGTGCATAAATATATGTTTATCCAAGCATACATAACATTAACTATTCCTAACGTGAATGTTAAGCTATCCACATTTAACTTTATAGTAGGAAGTTTTATTGAGATTTTAAAACTAAGTTTAGCTTAGTGTAAGAAACGGAACTTGGGAGATTAAAGGATTAAAGGTGAAATTTAAATAAATGTCAGCTTAAGATCACAAATATATCTTATCATGCGCTCTAATAACTTTTTGAATTAAATACAAGTCTTAGCTTTGTTGCACTTGATATTCATAGATCATCAAAATTATTGGTAGCAGGTATATTTCTGCTGACCTTTTAGATCATTAGTATATAGCATACTTATGCACTGTAAATACATATTAATACATATAATACATACGTAAGTTGCAAGTGTCAAAGTCAGATTCTAACTTCGGCTACAGCTTCCGTTTTTGCGCTTTGCATGTGCGTTTGTTTCGCGAGATCTCCCTCTCTCTCTCTCTCTTTCTCTATTTCTCGCTCTGACTCACTGCGTATGAGCGTGTGCGTGTGTGTGTGTGTGTGTGTTTGTGTTAATGACAAAGCATAGAACGCTGCTGTTGCCGCCGGAAGGCTCAAAACGAAATGAAACTTTGTGCGCATAGGCAACGGCAGCGGCAGCAGCAGCGCCAGCGCCAGCGTCGCAGAGACTTTGACGCGTTGGCAAAAGAAACAGCAGCAGAAACGTCGCTGGCAACAACGCCTGAGGCGAACCAGTTCCAGTTCCAGACGATGACGACGACTACGTCGGGCAGCTGAAATATTTCGTAGTTGCCCCAAGGCTGTGCAAAGAAAAACTTGTGATAAATACGCCGCCGGGCGAATTTCAAAACAGCCAGAGAGCGAGAGAGACAGAGAGAACGAGAGAGAGAGAGGAGTCGAAGGGAGCGATTGGAGCAGAGAAGGGCGTGCAGTTAGGCAGCTGTAATTAAAATGAGTGCCAACTTTTTGCCCCCAAACAACGCCCAGTCACAAGCCGCAGCCCTTTTCTACCCAACAACCAAAAACCAATTCCCTTAACCAGAATCCCGCTCCGCCCCGCACCGCTCCACTCAACCGACACGCATTTATGTCACATCATTTTTCATTGGCAATTGTTAACCGAGCTGCAACTGGGCCGCAGGCGAAATTAATTTTGTACATACTTCATATTATTGCGCTATTTGCATACAAGTGGCCATTGTTGCAAGTTGCAACTTGCAACAACAACAAGTGCAAGCTGCATATGTGGGTGCATGTTTGTCTCTCTGTGTGTGCATGTGAGCGATTCCAATGATTGTTCGCTGCCCAGTGACATTTCAATTTTTCATATTTTATCAGAGCAGCGGGGGCACGGCAGCGACTAACGCCAGCGATGAGGACGACGCAGACGAGGACGAGGACTTTGCCAGTGGAAATTGTTGCAATTTTATCGCTCATTTCACTCATTGTGAAAGCGGGACATAGGCCGGAACTGGGCAAAGGGGAGTCCATTTATTGTAATACTCTCTCTGCCGGCTGCAAAGGGTATGCTTAGTCAGAGTTAACGTATCAATTTTCAAACACGATACCAACGAAGTTCTAACTAAGCTCTCGCAATGAGCACTGCCCTACGTTGGGCGCCACATTGAACCAAAACCAATTGAGCAGCGCCTTATAGGGTATCTTGTTGTCTCGTCGCGCTCTTGGGCGTCCTTTATTACTTCTTTCGGCTACGCTTTCAGTTTTGGGGCAAAGCTTTACACACATATGAGAGAAAATCGGAGCTTCCATTTCTTTTTATATATTTTTATTTTGGCTGCGATGACGTCGCTTTGGGTTTTGCCATTTTAAATATTTTTTTAATCACAAGCTCACACACACATTCGTATCGTACGTGCACACAGAGAAAAAGAGAGCAAGCGAGAACGAAAGGGAGAGGGGGGGGGGAGAGAGAGACAGAGAGAGAAAGAGAGAGCTCATACATATGGCAATACCAATATTTCAAGCCAATTTGCTGCAGTTAGCCGCCAGCAACTGGCAACAAAATAATTCGACAAAATGTGCGCGGCGCGCTTTATGCTTTATTGTTTGGAATGCTCCAGGGTAGAGGGGGCGTGGGCGTGGTCACACATATGAATGCCAATGTGTGTGTGTGCATGTGTGTGTGTGTGTGTGTGTATGTGGCATGTCTACAAAATCAGCGTCGACAGCCAGATGTATTCCTCTCATAGTAATAATTGTTGATGGGTTTTTAAAGTAGCCACAATCCACACAATCCACAGAACGGCCAGCCCCTGCCCCGCAGCCACGCCAACTTGGCCCATGCATATTTATTCAAGTATGTAGTTTTTTTTTCCGCCATGGTTTGTGCATTTTGCGTGTTAATCAATATATAATAACAAACAGAAAATGGTTGCGATGAACCTGAAAATGGTTCGCCCGAAAGCCCCCAAACATATGTTGGCTGAGAATTTCCGCACTTTTTACGCATCATTATTATTGTTATTATTTATATATGGCACACACACACAGCTTGCATACATTTGTGTGTGTAAACACATATATATTTTTTGTATTATTAACGACACAAAAAAGGCTCATAAAATTTACAATGCCTGGCCTTAGGCCTTTTACTTAATGATGCCATTTTTGCGCTGCCAACGCGGCCTGAAAAATTCGCGTTTAATTTTTAACGCACGACTGACTGCAGCTACAAATAAAAAATATAAAAAATATACAAAATATAAAAATATCAAATAAACAAAAAAATATACAAAGTAAACCAAGCCGAAAACAGCAAAAGGCAATTCTCATATTTCACAAATTATACATTACACATCAAATTTGCAAATATATTAACTTTTACGCATTCCGTTTATATGTGGAGCAGGGAATATACGCTCAAACTATTTTCTAATTATAAACATAGTATATATTCTTGGTCCTAGTTTTATTCTAAAGTCAAAGCAAAGCATTTAGGAGCATTATTTTAAGCTAGTCACTAAAAATTCTAATCCTTAGCTGGCCATTAAATGACAACTCGAGCTAGAAGTCTATCGTAAAGACTTTCATTGGAAAATCTA